CTCTTGCCGGCCGTTGGAATACCGGCGTTTTCACTTTACTGCACAGGTAGAGTGGCCGCGTTTATAAGCAAAAAAAAGGAGGAAGAGGACGCCCTTATTTGCCCTCTCCCGGCGAGAATAAGTCACCCTTTATCTCGGTTAGTTATAACAGTAAAACTCTTATAGGTGTCATCTCCATGCCTTTTTCGCAAGCCGGGGATCCACGTTTCCGTCGGAAAAAAAATTGCTCTAAGAAATTCACTTGTAGGCGATAACACGACGAGCAATGTTTCTTTTGTCAACCTTTTTTTATTAGAGCCACTCTGAGGAATCTCGTAAATTCTTTCCTTATCAATAGTATTCTTTCTTCTTAAATCACTTTACCTTAATCTTTCTTAAAAGAAAATTTTATTTTATAATAAAAAAACAATTGAGGATTTGGTAATAAAAAGGACAAAATATCAAACAGTGGTGTGATCTATTTAAATAAACACCGACTATTAATGTTGCAATAAATAATTTAATCATCCACGTAACTGAAGTTTTATTACTATTGATTAAATCGAAATATTTAGAAATAAATAATAATAATAATAAATGCCATTAGTTTCCTCATAGGTTCGATGGCGCTAGCGATGGCCCCATTGGGCTCAAGTATGAAAGACTGTGGGAAGCTGGGTCCAAATCTGATCAAATTAAATCAATTGTTTTATGAATAATAGCTCAATTCGAAAAAAATTGTAAATGCCATTATAAAAATAATAATTTAGTAAATATGAAATTATAGAATATCTCATGGATATATAAAAAATCTGTTCATGAATTTCTAAAACTTCTAAGCCAATTAAAAACAATATTTGCTAAAACTATAAAGCTTAAAAAAATTATATCAATTTTGTTAACTTTAATAATATTTAATATTAATCCATACTTGCTTAGTGGTCATAATTCACCATATTAATTATTTATTACTTTTTTATTGTTTTTATTTGAGGTTCTGGTTGAGATAAAAAGTATTATATTCATATATATATATATATATATATATATATATATATATATATATATATATATAATACTTTTTATCTGCGTATATATATAAATCGACGGAGCCGTTGTGTAGATACATATAAGCGGAAAAATCATGGAAACTTGGGAAACCTTCTGGATCCCCGTAATACGAAAAGTAAGCCGCAAAAGTAGTATAAAAACGTTAAATATGTAACATTTGACCGGGCTGTTGTCCAGGCGATATATGCGGAAATCTTATGAAACGGATCATGAATAAACGGAAAATGAATAAACAAGAAATTCGGGCAAAATTCTGAACCGCCTAATACGAAAAGGGATGGTTATTTTAATTACGTATATTTGTTAGTTGGACACAATTTTGAAAACGAGGCAACCCAAAGTCCAATAACCAGGGATTTTCAGTGAAAGGTATATTTCTTGTAAGGTAGAGAAATGCCTAAATAAAGAGCTAAAATGGTGGAGAATTTTTGCGGAAAATAAGTTTTTGCAAGACAATAAAATGACGTGATAGCCCTAAATTGTAACATCTTAAATCGAATGTTTGCTTTACATTTTTTCATTTTATCAGGTGATGGTATGAATATCCTCGGACAGAGTTCTTTGAGTTTTCGATTCATCTGGGTCAGTAATAAAACTAATTCCCAGAAAACTACCGGCAGGCGCGTTCCGAAACAAGAAAAGCAGTAGAAACGGTTTCCTGGTAATGTAATAAAATCGGACGCTCAATCCACTGAAACGTGAACGATTAAAATATACGCCGTAGTAAACCCCGAACCCACTGAGAAGTGTAAGACTAAAACAGTTTGAATATATACGAAAATGCCGGTGGCGTTCACGGCCCCTTTTCTCAATCCGAACTCCTTCATTCTATCCTGTGACCCCTCCTAACCCTTGGTTACAAGGGGGGTATCCGGGCACAAAATAATGGTGCAGCCCAGAGGGCGTGGCAACTCTCTAAAGCACAAGCTGTCTTATGTCAGCCTGAGGGTCGGCAGGGGCGGCGGGTGCCTTAGCAGAGTCACACGAGGGCCAGTGCACCAGATCCTGTCTGAAAAGACGGGGGAGGGTGTATGGCCATCTGTACCACGGGGTGACGAAAATGTTTCAAAAACCAGCCCGAGTCACATTGGGATGGACTCGTAGTGGCTTGTGGCGACGGGATCGGACCACCTAGGCTAGACCTATGGCGTCCCTCCAATGCGTGCAGCAGGTGTAGGCAGAGCTCGATAAGAGACTTTTTACCGTAGACAGTGCTCATCTAGGGGGTGGGTAGCAATCCCACTCTAAACTAAAACCGCTGTCGGGGCGTTCCCGAAAGTTTCGACGCTAGAGGAGCCTCTACACTCAGAGAGATAGAGTCGCCTTCTCTATCTAGGGAGTACGCGAGGGGGGGNCAAGTGTTTATATAAATGTAAAATTAATTAAGATTGTTTTCTAAAGATCTTGAAAACGACGAAATGTATCGTGGAAAGTTTGGCGTTGTTTTATGACTACAATCCTAATCCACGAGACTATTACACAATAAAGGCTGGTCAATCGCTAAAAGATCCTTAATGGAATTACGGTTTTCATTATTTAATTGTAAGGTTTCGCCCTTTTGACCATAAGTAACTACTACATTACTACTTATGAAAATAATTAAAAATTTAATAGTAAAATAAACGCGCTGAAAAAATTATAAAAGCCAGAATTTACATTTTATAAAATAAAATGTTTGTTATAAAGGGCTTAATTTTGAATCAGTTCAGAGAAGCGGGAATGTTATCTTCAGCCCCCTTGGGTTCCACTGTGTGCTAAAACGGCCCGAGTAAACGTACGTGAAAGGGTTGGGAGTGGTATTACTTTATACGGCCAACATTTCCGTTTTCACCTCAGACGGTTGAGCACAAACAAATGGTGCGATTCTGCCGGGGGATGAAGGTTATTTGTGATAAGGCGGTGCTGTTTACGCCTGTGTTCGGCAGGGAGGAGTTATTGAGCCCTGACCTCCAAATATACCGGTGCCACTATTTACACCCCGCATCACCCCTTATCATCCCCTAGCTAAACTATCACGGGCCACGCTGTAAAATATTTTGTTTTCGACTGAACCTTTTTGCTTTTATGTCTTGTAAGATGCGGGTGAGATCGAAACGCGCGTCCATCTGTGAAGGCGATAACACGATGAAAACAGTTACAACTAATTACGTTATTAATTATCTTTCTATCTCTGACGTTATGAACTTCTCCCTTTCTCTTTTTTGTTCTTAAATAACTTCGATTGCTCCCTTTTCGTGACACTTCCATTTTGTCGTACCTAACTCTCTCTCACTCTCTCTCTCTCTCTCTCTTTCTCTTTTTCTCTCTCTCTCTATCTATCTATCTATCTATCTATCTATCTATCTATCTATCTATCTATCTATCTATCTCTCTCTAACTCTCTCACTGTCTCTATATATCCCTATCTATATATCTATTTATATATCTACCTCCCGCGTTCTCTTTCTACCCCACAATGTCAGTCACTCTCTTTTCTTTCTCACTATTTTACAAAATTTTGGGCATTAGTGTTTAAATATTTGCTCGAAAGTTTCTAGAAGTTTAGTCCAACTGGAAAACTACAATATTTGGTTATTGTTTTGTTATTTGTAATAATGTTTTACAATCAATTAATCTTTATGTAAGGTATTGGTTGAGAAAAAAGTCAGTGTCACGAGTTACAAAAAAATCGGTAAAAATTAAGTGTCAGGTTGTATAGGGCCATGTTTGAAATTTTAAAGTTACACTGGGCCTGAGGTACACTTTACCACTTCTCCAAAAAAAGGTAATAATTTGGAACTAGAATGAAAATAATAACTAAAATGAAATATATATATATATGTATTATAGCATCATTGGTTCAAGAGCAATTTAGCCGGACCATCTAAAAAGGACACTGTACACATTTTTTTACATATATTTCATTCAATACCAAATACCTATTTTAAATTATATTTTATTTGGAAATTACTTGATAAGTTAGTTTTTATTTATAATACGTATGATCTTTCAGTTAATCTCAACATTATTTAAAAAGAAGTTTTCGAAATGATAGAGAGATAAAACTAAAATGTCCGGAAATACTTTCAGAGGATTAACATTGACAAGCATCAGTACTTAGCAACAGATTGAATTTTTTATTCAAGCAATACAATAGATTCCAAATTAATTTAGTTCTAAATCTAATAACGTTTAAATATTATCTTAGGTATAATAAATATTTTGTTTTTCTGAATCCGTTGAACATGACAGCAAAATGGAGCTGTCAAAAAGACTTTTCTTTGGCACTCCCTTCTCGATTTTTCTGTTACAAAATTGGTTGCATTATTTACAGAGTAAAACATGGATATTTAAATTATGAAAAGTGTATATTCGAGTAAATCGTGACCTATTATTCAAGAAATTTGAAACCAATCTAAACTTTTGATACGAATCGCATACGTATATTTCTCACGCACCAAATTAATGAAAAATTGTTAATCTCGAAATATATTTTAAAGATTAAATTGGCATACTTATAAGGACCCACATACCGTACTAGATTTTTATTTATTATACGCTTTGTAGTAATTATTTTGTTCAAAACGAGGACAAAAATCGTGAATACTCCAATGCACTTGTTGGTTTGCAGCAGTTCGGTAAAATTGGAACCGGTTGAGGATGACGAGCGCGCCCGCACGAGTGGGTTTGGGAAGAGAACAAAATTGTGTTCACTGGAAGCATGAATGGGAAATCAATCAGTGGGGAATTCTCTTGATACCCAACAGTCACTTTACGAATGCATAAACCGAACGAGGACGTCATACTGAATAACATATTTACATACACGAACAGAAAAATATCTTACATTTCATAAAATTATACATACTGTACAACTGTAGCCATGCCAATATTATCATAAACGCTCTGTATTTTTTAGACTACTGACACGATTAATCATTCATAACAAATCAATTTCTGGCATTTTTCAGTTGCTCATCTGAATCTGGGCACGCTTTTGGCTTCGAGAGGCCGGAACGAGGAAGCCGAGGCGGTTCTGGTCCGGTGTTCCCAGCTCGACGGATCCGGAGTGAAAGACCCCCGGACACACCACTCGACGAGGGTCTCCGCTCTGGTCCACCTCGGCCGGATCTACGCCGACAGAGGAGAGTACACGAAAGCCGTTCAGGCGTACACCCACGCCGTACAGATCCGACCAGCCGATTATCAACCGCAGGTACGCTAAAACAAACACCCGTAAAACAACAAACCGAAAGATTTTCACAATTCTGATTCCTGATATCATTACCAGCTAAAACAGAAAAAAAGTACAATTCCTTTGATGAAAAGTTTTTTCTTCAACACATCCTATCAACAGGTGTCTGTGTTAAAGATATTATTTATTTCACCGGTTTTAAAATTTAAAATGCAACATATTCTGGTACTGCTTTTTATTTTTCTCGCCCACGTCACCGTTCGATACATAGCTTTGAGCAGATCCTCCCTTTTATGAACCGTGATAGGACTTTTGGGCTTAATCACCATTTTGTTTTCTCTAATGTACTCAGTTTAGAGGATATACGCCGTATGCTTTGTTCTATTTTTTGTACTGGGGAATAGCGTTTAACTTTTCTCTTATCTCTAACCCGGGATATTTTTCCTTTTCGTTGGTTTAATACGATTAAAGCCCTCAGAATCATTGTCAACGCTCCCTACTTCGTCACCAGTACCCTCTACAACCAACTCAAAATACCATTTGTAAATAAATTAATCCCCACCAAATTTTCCACGTTCTATGAAAAACTATCCTCACATCACATTAGTCCGATCCATATCCAACATTATCCGTTCCTACTACCCAGTAAAGCGCTCTTTATGCAAAGTTTATAAACCTAAGTTTCCTAAAACTGGAAGAGCAACAATGGTCCCCTCAGGATATTTGCAAACGATAAAAATTGTATCACATTACATGATGTATATATTTGGTAATAAAAAAAATTTCAAACACGATTATTTGGACAGTTTTAGAAAAACATTTTCTTTATCATGCCAACGTTTCGATCTTTATTTGAGATCATCTTCAGGGCCAGGGATTTATAAACATTGTTTAAATTTTACAAAATACATGTAGGATGTGATAAAAATGAATTTATAGAATGCTAGAAACTTTTAGATTAAAAAAATTATACATTGCGAGAAAATTTTAGATTAAAAAAAAAAAATTGTTGCAATGCTAGAAAATTTTAGATTAAAAAAATGAATTTATAGAATGCTAGAAAATTTTAGATTAAAAAATTATACAATGCCAGAAAATTTTATATTAAAAAAAATGAATTTATACAATGCTAGGAAATTTTAGATTCAATCAAATCTAAAATTTTCTAGCATTGTATAAATTCATTTTTTTTCACATCCTACATGCATTTGTAAAATTTAAACCATGTTTATAAATCCCAGGTCCTGAAGATGATCTCAATAAAGTTCGAAACGTTGGCATGATAAAGAAAATGTTTTTCTAAAACCTACGTCACGCCAGGCCTCATCTCACGATCTCCAACTAACCTTTGACTGACGGTCACTAAAACCCACACATTTTTAAATACGCTTACTCTCTATTTTTACAAGATGAACAAATGAACTTACTTTTTAACATTATTATGCAGCGCATATCAGGGAATGGTGTAAGACAGTTAAAAAGTCACTATTTTAAACGATAACCCGTAAAACTAACAGGACATTGAAAATTTTGACTCGTTCAATGCGCATCAGCGCTAATTAAAACCATCAAACGTGTTCAAAGTCAAATTGATATGAAATATCATATGTGCATATTGCCCTCGGTAATAGGCTTAAGTGTAATGAGCTTACGGGAAGAATCGGCTTAGGCTAATCTGAAACGTAGACATGCACGACAAACTCTTCGAGGGTGGCTGCATTCTCCAGGACGGAGATTTCCAGGATTAACTCCAGCCGAGGCTTATATCTGAACATTTGCCGTTAGAGGGCTGTTGGCGGTGTGTTTTAAAGGACGAGGGTCCGCCCATCCGAGCGATATTAATTCCCGGTGCCGAACGTTATCCGAAAGACTCCAGCGGCTGCTGATAGGCGTCCCATGGGATCGAAGCCCCTTTGAGATTTATGGCGGAAATTCCTTAACAACTATTTGCCCCCTGGTTTACATTTTATCTCGGTCATATTTCAAAGGGCGTTAATATAATTTTGTCACATCTACCCCAGGACTGAGATTATTTTTAATCTTTTGTAAAATCGCGTTGTCATGGAAGAATGGTAACACAATAGCAGAAAAATCGCCAATAAAATCGCATGTGCCATGACTTTTAACTTTTCGAGAATAGCGATGCAATAAAACTCTTGGAGTTAGCACTTTTGGATTTATTATTGTTTTTGGTTTAAAAACATACGCGACAATGAATTTCTTCGTCATCAAGTGCCTACCAACTGAACCAATAGAACTAAGGATCATTTACTCATCAAAAAATTTTCTTCAAACATCTCTCTCCAAGATTTTAAAAATGTTATAGAATGGTACCCAAACTGATAGATGGTTTTCAAAATAACGTAGCTAGTAATAAAAAGGTGCGATTGGCAGACCGGTTTCATGTTAGTTAAACAATACACACTTCTAATAATAAGTTTCTAGGCAAATAAATTGTTAAGTATTCACGAACGACAAAACATTTTGAAAATTAAATAACTATAGTTTATCCTAGTTATTTTTGAAGTGTACTGTAAGATTTTTATACATAAACAAAATTTTATATATTAATTTTAAAACTGTTGAAATAAGCTAGTAAGTTTTCGAGTTTTTGTTCGGTACTGTTCGTAAACATATTTTTCTAACATTTATCATTTCGCAGTATTTGGTTTTAGTAGTTTTTCTTGACTTGTTTATACTTCTTTAAATTATTTATGAGAGGGATGGTATTTTCCTTCCATCCAATTTCATGACGTCCGGCTGTTTTTCTTCTCTTGCGAACGTGCTAAGGCAGAAAAATATACTTGACCCGAGCAAAAACATTAAAAATAACAACTTGACCATAGGCTGGTCATTTCCCTCGAAGCATTACAAACTTTAAACATGTAATAAATGATAATATTTAAACGTCAAAATATTTTTTATATAATAATTATTTGTATCCTGAATTATGCAGATTACAAATTGTTCGTTATTCTATAAAGTCCCGGACACGACATTAACACTCCGGCCAGTACTGACCGGGAGCACGCGTGTTATGAGAATCCATTGACTGGCATTCAATTAATCATCAGATTTAGAACGTGTAGAGTTTTGAGGCGACATGGAGGGTTCTTGGGATGGGAGGTAATGGAAAGCGCTTAAGCAGTAGGGTTAGGATGGTAAGATTGGTGTGAAACTTGAGGATGCGAGAACAATTCAATTCTTTGATGAATGGAATGTTCAGGTCATTGTGACAGGGAGGTTGGATACCTTGTAAGTAGTTAGGAGAATTCTTGTGAGGACTTTTGATTGGAATGCTTGTATCCTTTAGAAGTTAGATGGCTTGATGGTACACCATAGATACGTTACGCATGTATTTAGTTGTTGTCTTGTGTGAGAATTCCACGTTAATCGTTCCACGTTAAGGAATTCATTTCTAGTTCCTTACTGTTAACGTACAGACGTGGGCAAGGCAGTTTAACACCGTAATTTGGCTACATTTGTCCTTGTTCAGTTTCAACTTCTACGTTCTGCACCATTCATCAATGAGCTCAAGATGTCCCTGGATATTGGAGGTGGCTTGGGTCGGATTGGTGTTAGAAGATTGCAAAGATTGAGCATAGAAATGCAGTACCGTCCGCGTAAGCTGTAAGGAAGATTTTGCGATTTATCGGCAGGTCAGCAGTATAAATGGTGCATAGGATGGGATCAAGAATGCTCCCTTGTGGGACACCGATCTTGGTTGGCATAAAATAATTAATATAACTAATACACATTTAGTTTTTCTAGTTTAATAGTAATTCGGAAAGTGGTATGGTTTGATGGATTTAGGGAAGGGTGAATCATGGAAACTTATATTCTTGCTATTGTCTTACAATATATAAAAATACATCCTTCTTCTAAATATAGTATATAATTTTATTATTTATTTTTGATTCATTAATTGTTAATTATAAGTAGTCCAATCATTTCGGTTGTCTTAGTTCAAATTTAAGAGGTTTTTCTAGGATTAAACAAACCATTTCCATTGCCATTCTGATAATTCTACATGATCACACCAGTTAATATTTTTCTACGTATCTTCATTTAACTCAGTAAAAAAAGATTCACGATATAAAATTAAATAAAAATTTTAATTTTGGTGAGCGGTATGTGTAAACTAAAATTTTTACATATTTTGTAAGTTAACAGATTATTTTGGATTCGATAAGAATTGTATTACTCCAAATACTTTTCTCTGGCTGTGGGAGTACCGCAAGGAAGTGTGCTCGTACCAATCCTCTATAATTTTTACACTGCAGATGTTCCCACTACAACTATCCTTGCAACTTTTGCCCACATCTGTGTTCGGAATATCAGTAAAGACATATCACATGTATAAACTGGTATATGAAATGAAAAATGAAGATAAAAAAAAGTAAGTGCGTCCAGACACATTTACACTCCGAAACAAATCTCCTCTCACAATCTACTGCAACTATATTCCTATCCCCAAATTCGACAGCTTTGGTTATCGTCGGTTCTACTTACAATCAAGCTTAACTCGGAATCGGCATACACGACTAAAACGCAAGCACTAAACAGACGCTACGGCATAGTATACCAACACACATTTACAGCATACAAAACGTTACTAAAGCCGATTTAGACATATAAAATAAAACTTTCGAGAACGGCTAAACTTTACAAATCCAACGTCTCCAATCCGATTATTCTAAAATGTTGTTCAATTTTTTTTTTTTTTTTTTTTTTTGCTTCGCGCATATATTGGCTGTGCCGCAGAGTTCAAATATAACTCCTTCTTATTATGCCCAAAAATTAAGAATCATTCAATTTCAATCACTAATTAATTCAAAAATGCGAGAACTAATTCTGGAAACTGAATAAAAGTTGTTTTTTATTTCGTGTATAGCATCCAATGATTGAAATGTGTTAATGTAGACTTTGTACTAAAAAACTTATTTGTTTTTATTTGTATGTTCAGTTGTTGTTTTTTTAAGAAAAACAGAGGGGATAATTCAATCTAAATTTCACAGATCACTTCAATACTACCCTCCATAATGACCTTAAAATCCTTTTTATCCAAAATATAATTTCCAAAATTTTACCAAGTTTCACAATAAACTCTCCCATCACCCAATTAGTCTTGTCAAAGCCTTGTCCAATTGAACCCATCCGTACAATTTCATAAGGCGTCTCAAGAGGAAATGGCCCCCGCGACCTCCTTTCTGTTGAGTAGGTAGTGAAGTTTCATTAGTAAAGTGAAGTTGGAGAATAATATTGATTATACTTTCCTCTCAATGTAAATAAATAGTTGTATACATCTATGCATCCTCAGATTTCATGCATTAATTAGATATTGCAAATAGTAATAAAATATTAAAATACGTATGAAGAAACACACCACTTCCATTACAACCGTCGTACCTCTGGGTGACCAGCGCCACCAAACATCTTTCTTTTAATTACCCGTAATAAAACACATAGATCCATAAAACAAAAAAGTTGACTGTATGTTTTCTCGGGAAAAAAAATTAATATTATTGTTAATAAAATAATAGGATAACGTTTTTTAAGGCTTCGTGATCGTTAAATTTGTCTAGTGTATTTTTTTAAGGTCATCTCTTTGCAATTCTTGCACGCGACATTGTTTTTTAATCTGCAGCTATTTGAGCATCCCACTCCAGTTATTGGCTCTGCATGTATACTCCGTATGTATATTAAATCAATATATTAAACCGCTAGCCTCTTCGTTGTACCCCAAGTAGTCACCTATAAATAAACAGAAAAACATAAATGTATTTACAAAATGTTATGCGCATCAGAAACACTGTGGCCGACGAGAAGACCACTTGCAATGCGAACTACTGAAGCAAAATCATTATAGAAAAATACGTTAAAATTAATCGCGCTTAAAACAAATTTCAAATATAAAAAAAGAATACTAACATCACTTACAGTCATAATAAAAGCATAATACTTAACAATCCTATAATTTTTTGGTTCTATTGTGTATATCCTGCTCATGACTATTCTGGAGGGGGTGAATAGTTACCAGACTTCCTTATTTGTATAGAATGGCATATATTTTGTATATATTCTGTATATTCTATTTATTATTTGTTATGTAAAAGAAATGAGTCAGTTACAAATCTAGATGCTCAAAGGACAGCAGGTTGAAACATACGCGTGAAGGACTAGGATGAGAAGTGAAGACAAGAGAAGGGCCGGCGATGACGTCAGCTGTTTATCGGCCCCTAAACTTCCACATTGTAATTATTATTAATCTGCTGTTTTATGAATTGTAACCGCTATATGTAGCTAAAATGGAATAATGGAATTGTCCAAGCATAAACTTCAAAAATACGGTCGAATAGTTAGATGCGATTATTCAGTCCTCGGTACTGCACCACTGGTCAGGGTGTTTATGATTTTCAGCCATATTTCAACTTAAAGCCTATAAAAGCGAAATTTTATGGTATAATTTCATAAAATAATCAACAAAATGTGTAATTTAAAAATTATTTATTTATGCTGAAGAGAACTATGTTTTAGAAATATACTGCCCATCAAAAAACAAACCACCTGTTTTTGCACAAAATGCAATTTTCTCAACTTTTCAGGCCACATAGCTGCGCTAGGTTGCTTTTTGAAAATTTTACGCTGAATAAGATGGCTGTTTAAAATGTTTTTCAAGCTTCCGTCATTCATCATTCAAATCAAAAATTCTGGAAGATGTTAATTTTTGCACGTTTTACGAAAACTTCAAATTGAGCTGTGGAGCCAGGAAAACGTCCTGGAGCGGCATCCTTTAGGAATCGATAGGAAATTTTAATAAGCTTTCAATTGGTCAACTTCCACTTTACCCGATTTTTCAACCGTTTTCGAGATATTCGTTATTTTTGGGTTAAATGTGGTTTTTTACGTGTTCAGGGATATGTATTTTCTAATTAATTCTAAGAGATATTTATCGCGACTTAACGTAAATCATCCATCTATCCATCCCTCCCCTCTCTCTCACTCACTCTCTCTCTCTCTCTCTCTCTCTCTCTCTCTCTCTCTCTCTCTCTCTCCCCTCCATCCCCCCAATTTTACTATCAATACCTGTTTGTTCAATACGTTATTCGACGCCAAATCGCGACAACATATGGGAAACAAAAGTTAAACAAGTGGTTATCGACAGCAGAAACATTCCGCATCCCAAAAGGTCAAAGTACGAAAAAGATAAGAATTGTCGCTACCCTGGTCACATTATTGAAAAAGTCCTCGGAACAAAAGTTATAGAAACAAAAATTGCGAAAGCGTTACTGTTTACAATTCATTGAGACATTGAGATTTGGGATTGAATTTTGAAAAATGGAAAAAAGGAGGGAAAATTAAAAAAAGGTGGGGTTGAGATGGGAAGTTAGTGCCTGAGGGGATCGAGGTCACGATAGCTCAAGTGGTATAGTAGCGGCGTATCAAGCCGAAGGTCGTGGGTTCGAATCCCGCTCGTGACACTGACTTTTTTATCTCAATTTAAAGAACCTTAATTAATTGAATGTTTCTATCTTTATTGAGATCACATTCAGGCCCTGGGATTTACAAACATTGTTGAAATTTAACAAATACATGTAGGATGTGGAAAAAAGTGAATTTATACAATGGAAAAAAATTTTTGCATTGTATAAATTCACTTTTTTCCACATCCTACATGTATTTGTATAATTTAAATAATGTTTGTAAATCCCAGGCCCTGAATGTGGTCTCAATAAAGATCGAAACGTTGGCACGATAAAGAAAATGTTTTTCTGAAACCTACATCACACCAGACCGCATTTAACGATTTCCGAATAATGTTCATTGTAATTTTTTTTAAAACGAGTTCTAGCGCAGGTTTGCGATTTAAAAGGCTAAGAATTATGCATTTTCAAAGTGGGCCAGTTTTTCGTGCAAAAACCAGGTAGTCGGTTTTTTTAATGAGCAGTGCAGTTAATAAAACTGCATTAGTTGTGTAATGTCAGTTACGTTAGTTATAGCATTTCATTTTAAATACAATAAACGAAAATAAAAAACGATAAAAGAAAATTAATTCTTTGGTTTTAAAGCTGAGAAGATAAATTTTTCCAGGTGTATTTTGAATGTGAAATGACCCGCGGCTGTAGTCGGCGAAACCTTTCCAAGAGTTACGGCCACCCTTAACTCATAAACATAAAATAATGACCGTCGCCTTTGCCCGCCTTTGAAAAATAAATCTTACCATTTCTGGCACAAGAAACTTCCAACGCCAAACCTGAAAACGGATTTCCCCTACCCTTTTATTTTTTTTTATTTTATTGGCCTTTAACCACCACTCAAACGCTAGGCCAAACGCATTACCGCGTTTTAATTATTATACTTTAATGCTTCTACTGTTTTTCCTCTTCAGAGCTCCAATTACTTCAAGCGATTATTCTACTCAACCGAGTCATTATTGCATCGTAATTCTCCAATTCTCGGACGTTTCCAATTATCGCTATCTAGATGCGATGTTAGGGTGCTAAATCATTTTTAATATTTCTCCGTTTACTGCCAGTTTCCCTTGGACAGTTTCCATTTCATTATTTTATATGGCCTGGACAGCGAAACCCAACCAAAAAACTTCTATTTTAATCAAATTATGGCATAATGGAATCATTTTTCAATAAAAGTTCAACACTTCAATCAATAACTCGTACGTCATAATTAAATTCTTCCGAATTTGGCATCCTACTCAACCTTTCCGGCGAGCTCATTCAGTATAGAGAAATTTCTTATAGGACCGATCAAACAAAATCTATATTTGTTATAGTTGGTCCTATTTACCAAAGAAGTTATTTTAATTGATTTGAGTTAAAAAATTAGTCTCACGAACGGGAACGAAACAACGACCTCCGGATCCCAAAGCTTCTGCCGGTTGAATTATCGTAACGATTGGATTAATTTTAAGCTAGCTCAAGTAGTAGAAGCGCCCCGGAGTTCGAGACCCGCTCGCGACACTAATTTTTCAACTCAACCATACTTTACATAAAATATAAATCACTAAAACAAAAGATCTTTTTTCTTGACCTCGTGAAGTTCGTGCATTATTATAAATGAAAGGGGGATTATTCGTGTCAAGAAGGGTGTAAATTCTATCCAATATTCTTTGGCAAATACAAATCCGACAGGCACGGCCAGAATCCCGAAGAAGACTTTGTAAAGGCCTATTCCTCTTTCTAAAGTATTAAACAAGACAACCTAAGCTGCACTTAAAAACGACAGACAAGGCGGCAAAAGGAATAAAAAAAGTAAATGGAAAACAAATTTCTCCTCCAGACAAAATTAAATTTTTACTTTCTAAACAATACACGTTATACGGGAATTCTTACTTCTCACCAACTAGAAAAAAACGATATACAATACATCTCTCTTCTTTTTTCACAGGTTCTTTACAATCTCTTGGGTGAGGCGCTGACTCGGCTGGAGAAACACGAGGAAGCCGAAAGGTGGTTCAAAGCTGCCTTGGTGGCAAAGCCGGATCACGTCCCAGCTCACCTCACTTACGGCAAGTTGCTGTCAAAAAACGTAAGTTATACCTCTTGTAGTAATTCAACAACTTCGACTTCACTTATGTATTATATAACAACTTTAATTATTATACTTTTATTTTTAAAATTACACAAATAATAATAAAATAAGTAAGACGAAGGAAAAGGCACCTGGTGAATCCGACGGGCCAATTACGAATATAATTCACCGGGCTCTGTCGATATTCGAACCCAGAACCGACATCGTGGCAAATTCGATTCGGACGCCCAACCACTCGACTACCGCAGGTCTCACCATGAATAATCATAAAATAGAATAATTTAACACTCTCGTCTACTCTTTATTATTTTGCATTTTGCTGCTTAAAAAAATAAAGTAACATTGATGACCAAAAAAAAAAAATACAAGCAAAAATAGAAACTATCAAGTCACACTCATATTGAACAATAAAATTCAATTTGACAAATTTCTGTAATAGTTTTGTTTTACACAATAAATGAGGTTTGTTCAGTTTTCTTTTGGATCATTTAATTTATATGCGAGAAAGGTTTGTCTTTTTTTTTATATTCTTGAACATATTTCAACAAATTTTCGCAGTAAATTTCTCCGACCATTTTACTTCATTTTTCTGAAGTTTATTGCGTAAAAAGTAATTATACGATTCGGTTTTTCTCTCATAGTAATTTTTCGTCCACCAATTTGTATGACATTTTTGTAGGGTATTTATTTATTGGTTTTACTTTTATTTTATTTCATCTGTAGAAATTGACATTTGTTCCCTATATAAATTTACCTACTCTATTTTCTGAAACTTTCACCTTAGTTTGAAAAAAGTTATTAGACAAAAATTCACTTTATATACATACATGTATAGAATGAATAATTAGATTGAAAAATAAGTAAAGTACGGAAAATAATAGCAAGAAGAATATTATATTCTCAGTTATCAATTTTTTTCACTTTTAAACAAAGGTTTTCTCGGTCAGAATTAAACATAATTTTTTCACTGACATGACCACCAAAAATAAGCCAATAGCTGAATATTTAAATATTAAAAATCCGAAATTTTTCTTTAAGTCAGGATGGTAAAACATGCTGATAAATTACTTGTTGGCCATAAGCAATATATATAAGAAAATTTGAATTTTACAACAAATTTATAAGCATCATATGGCCAAAAACAACCGAATTTGAATTAAACAATTCCTTTTTGGGTTAATAAACTTCAATCAGAATCAGTCATTTCTGCCTGATTTGTCAGGTATTTCAGAAGCTTCAGAAGATTCATATTTTTGTTTAAAAAATATGATAAATTTTTTACTACATTTAATTTAACACATTTAATACGTTTTTAAAAGGCAAATGCTTCAAGTGCACTTACAGTTTAATTACTTACTCTATTATAATTATTTTCTCGGGAAATCGTTCCTTATGTAAACTGTTCAATGGTTCGTTATGTTCCGAACAAATTCGATTCAATAAAATGTACAAATGTTAGTCCATATATGCATTTAGTATTCAACATCGACTGTATTAACTATTTTAATTAATTATATTTTTCACCTAAGGTTTTGGTTGAGATGAAAAACTAATGCCACGAGCGGATTCGAACCCACGTCCTTCGGCTCAATACTCCGCTGTACTTCTAATCGCTTGAGCCCCACAAGTCTGTTAGAGCAGTGGCGTATCCTGCTCGGGGCACTAGCTTTTTCAATTCAACAAACACCTTAGATAAAGCATTATTAATTAAAGTCAATGAAGTTAATGTGATTTAGTGTTGCTCGGAAATAGTCTCCTGGCTGTAAATCGCCAAGACAAGTTTGTACAATCTTCGTCAGCCTAGTCGGCTCGGGAGCGGCCCGTTATAAACCAATGTAGTTTATTGGTGCCCACTTGGAATATAAACAAAATCCCGTTTGGCTAAGTTGCTTTTTACTTTATTAGAAGCCATGAATATTCAAACTTCGGTTTGAGTTGTTTGCCGTAAGTATAAGAAGTTTATTGCCCTCCATTTTCCTAACCAATTTATGTGTTGAACCGTAAAATGTGTTTACAATGTAAAAGACGACTCGGGAAAATGAAAAGGGGCAAAGTGTGAAACTTTCAATTTTTTAGCAGTTTATCCTTCCTCACCTTTACTTACCGTCCTGCTCCTCCTCAAACTGAAATTGAGCGACATGGGTTTCCATTATTTAACTGATTTTCCTTTTTTTAACGATTCGTTTTAATAAATTTTATAAACCAATTTTATTAACATATTGCCTCCTAGTAAATATAAATATCGAGCACTCATCCATTTTATTTTCTAAAGTAGAGGGCGAACAGAGCCAAACTGATTGTTTTAGATAGGCGATTTTTTTTTTTTTTTCAAAAAGTGTTTTAAACCTGCATTGGTAACCCATTATCCTAAAGGAGATTTTCCGGCAGTTGCAGGATCGCCCGTACTCTTGCAACCCCAGCGTGGCAGATTACGCGACATAATTTAACACCTTTAGACAATTATCCCATCCCTATTTTTTCGACTTAATCTACCATTCGAATTGACTTAAAATTTTCAAACCCCACTTTGTACACTATAACTAGAGATGAGGACTTTTAATGGGGGGGGGGAAATGAAATATTCGCCTAAAAAAATAATCGACCTAAAATAAATATTTTTTACATTTACATGCGTACATTTATTAAAGCCGTTTGAAATAAGAAAAAATCTAAGCCAAATTGCAGCAACGCTCTTTTCTATAGGGTCAATTGCTTTAAAATATTTTTCAAAAAGAGGAAGGAAACTGAGAAAAATCGTAGTAGCTGGTGGTCCATTATTCAAAGGTAATAATTACTTCATATTTCGATCGATTTTAGTGGAAATTACTTTTTAGAATCTAAAATCGATTTAGTGCAAACGGAAAGTAGAACCGTACCTTTCCGGCTCTACCTTTCTGAGTTACAGAAGAGTGAAAAGGAACCGCCGAACAACCAATATGGCAGCTCTCAAGACCCCCCCCCCTAAGGCATAATTGTGGACATGAACAGCTTTTTTCTAGGCTGAACAATTTTATTCTCATTTTAGGACATATGTATAGAAAGATGTCTGCAACACAGTCATTATTTAAAATTTTCGAACAGGGATATACAATGTTCAGGGGATTTGAAATTCTGGAATATTCTCAAAAGCTAATCACGTCTAAGTTGTTAGAAATTATTTTAAGAAGTGAGATGTGAGAACAATAGAACTACCAATGCTTTCAATTCTAATGCACGCTTTATTTTCCTAATACATACTAACTTGGAAAACATGTTCATTCCACGATAGCTTTGAGCCCAGATAAAAAAATTCTCAAATATTTTAAACGGCAGGATTCTTTCTTAACTTCATCATTTTTTAATGCATCTATGTATCTATCTCTTTAATTGAATTTAGGATAAAGCAATTACAAGACATCCACTTTTTGGCAATTTATTAATCATTCTCTACATGGATTTCCCAAAAACACTAAGAGAATCTGTCTACTTAAATTTTTTACAAACGTTAGCTTGCTGGAGGTCGATCATTTAACAGTGAGAGCTCATCATTTTTCAACATGATGGTGTTTCACTTCATTTTAATTGGGCTGTTCAGCATTACTTGAACGCAACTATCCCCACGTGGGATCGGAAGGTAATGCCTACCGATCTACGGATGTAACCCCCGGTTTACCGTACGGAGGTGCCTTATGTGGGAGTTTTACGCCAACGAATTCTGTCTGCAGCATGAAAATCTCCAACGAACAGTTTTCGAGTGACCACGAGAAACAGACGGAAACGATGAAAACTGTACCAACAGACGGAAACCAATTTGAGCATAAATTGCCCAATGAAGCAGTTAATTTCTTTAAACTGCAATTATTTTCCTCAAGAGACATTGCATTTCCATTTCTCACGCTGTATAAACATGTCCTTCACAATCCCCTTTCTTTGAGCCGTTTCTAGGGAGAGGTTTGGGCGGGGGTGTACATTGCGAAAGGGCCTGATAATGAACTTTAAGAAGAGGTTGAAAGGTTGAGATGGGGAGTTGGTGTCCGATTGGTTCGAAGACACGATAACTTAAGTGGTTAGAGCAGCGGCGTATCAAGCCGGAGGTCGTGGGTTCGAATCCCGCTCGTGAGGCTAGCTTTTTTCATTTCAACCAAAATCTTACATAAAAAGATTGATTTATTGAAAGATACAATAATAATAATTTTTAAACCGGACAATGATATGTAAACTGCCATGTCCAATAGAATTTTTAAACTAGATTTAGTAATACATCGCATGAAACCACGGACCCCATGAGAGTCGACTCGACTAAAAAAAAGTTTCAAGTAAATTAACATGTCGAAACATAACATTTCAACCAAAACCTTAGATAAAAAAATTAATTAATTGAAAAAAGTAATTTGGTCAATAGACCACTAAATATAATGGATTTAAGAAGAGGTTTTTTACCTTGCAAATGCATAGATACACTGAATAACAGAATTTGTTACATCGCCAATCCCATTAAACAGATTATCAAGCTTATCTCTTTACAAAACAAATTTTACCCACGAGAAATGTTAAGAGTTATTATATCAGCCTTATTTCCTCTTTTTCACACCATTTTTTTTTCATAGCATAAAATTCCTAAATTTGGTTCTATGTAATTAAATAAAATGATATACAAAGGGTATATCGCCACTAAACCTCTTAAATGAACGAGTTGTTACGAAATTTGTCAAGTTTTACCGTAATTTTTTTTTTTTTTTTTGGAGGGGGATTTTCCTAAAAATGAAAAGTGCACGAGGTACGAGTAGATTTAAACGAAAACCGTAGATACTAGAATTGTACCATGGTTCATAAGAAGTCACTCTGAACAAGTCCATCAGGTAACTTCGTACTTTGTTGAGTTTAGATTGATGTGAACATTTTATTAACTGTTTGTTTTAATAAATGAACGAAAGAGTATATTTTTATATTTACACAACATTTTAAAGTCCTCATTAACAAATCAAATAAACCAAGAATGTAGTACAAAAAGAAAAAAGTTTTTACAAATCTCAAATTACGGAAATCAGTTATTCCTTGGTTTTTAATGGAAATTGTCTTCGTACGTTTAACAAAAAATAAATGTGCGATTTTTCTTGGTGTCGGTGAAGTGTTTAACATTTAGTTCACCAAAGTAGACTAGAGGAGTGGATCCAAATTATCTGAACTAAAAGAAATCTCGTCCCTCAGATTGTTTTTGATAAGACATAAAATGAAATAAACTACATTTAAAAAAATTGTCATTTGTTTTACAGAAAACGAGGATATCTGAAGCTGAACAGTGGTTTATCAAAGCCAAGAAGCTCGCTCCTTCAGACCCCACAGTCTACGTTCACTTCGGTAAGTAAATAAAAGCAAAAAATAATTATTCAAACCATAAATCCCTCCATTACAATTAAATGTTAAAAAATAAATGTTTCCTTATAATTTTTATTTTACACACCACCTCAAGGGAATTATTCCGAGGTGTATATGGCTTTTGGGGAAGGAGAAAATGAAATGTTTGTTTCCCTTATGTAATCCACCCCCCGTGTTGTTTAACTGCGTACTAAAGCAGCTTTCATTTTCATCGGAATGACATGGCGTAAAATAGCACCAGCGGGTTGGTTCAGACCCTAACTAAATTGTTGCACTATCGACTTGTTGTGAGATGGTCCGTATTAAACTATCACGAACAGCGATGAGTAAGCTCGAGTTTACTGTTAACCTGTAGTACTGTTTTTTATTGGTAGAACGAGAAAATTAATCCAAAAAGGGTCGTTTGACTCTTCGTGGACCCGATATAGAACCATATAAAAAAATACTGAATAATTGAATAAAATTTTTATTTTCTATAGAAATACGTTAAAATCCATGATGTTAGGGATAAAGAATGTTATTATTCACAAATCTAAAAAAATATAGAATTGAGAGGTCAAATAAATTTAGACAATTTTGGTATGGTGTCGATGGATAATCGAATTACAGAGGTTATATTGAGCCTTAACATTGCGTCCCCCTTTTCAAAAATCACTATATGAAAAAGAAAGCATAGACTTCAAATGGGTTTTTGTTTTATTAGAAAAATCAAGACCAATATTACCCACAGTGCTCTATATTTACCAAGACCAATCTGCTTAAAACGTATTATCAAATGCAATTTTATTTATTATACGAATTGTAAAAATCATTAACATTTTAAAAATTGTTAAGAAGGTGAAAGGAGGTGTCATCGATGAGGTAAATAATAGACAGACGATAAATAAAAATATAAAATCTGCAAGAATTGTAAGGCCGAGATAATCGTTGTCATTTCATCATTTTGCCAATCTCACCACAACTACTGACATAAAAAAATAAACGAACTACAGTATAAAAATATTTTAACTTGATACTTATATAAAGATAACTATCATATTTTTTTACACTATGTAACAGGTTACATTTTTTGACGAGTTGACAAAATATATTGCTCATGTGTTTTCTGCGCCTTTTTTTAATACTAGGGTTTCTTTTTAATTTAATCTAGTTTGCTTTCATGTAGGAATAAATAACACTTCAAATCTAAAATCTCCGTACCCAGCATTACTACGCTCAGTCTTAAATTAATGGTTACAAAAGGGATTCATAAATCTTTTTAATGATAAAAAAAATCTTTCTAAAACCAAGGTTTTGTCTGATGTGTAATTCCGTTAAACGAGCAAGGTTTTATTTGTTATATTCAAGCACGCACAAGGCAATAAAAAAATAATTAAATTATACAGTGTTTTCCATCAACGGTTAATTTTGTCGGCAGGTAAAACGGTTATAGCGAGATAGCGACAATATTCCACCCTTGGGATAATCCGTTGTGATAAAAATTGTAGTCATTTGCACTATGGAGTTGAAATTCAGTTTAATTTCGTTGAATTATCATATTAGATTTAATTGAATGCATATTAATTCCATTTTACTTTTAGTTATAAATTGTCTTTAGATTTTATTGAAATATACTTTAAAAAAAGGTAGTTTATTGAAGATAGGACCAATGAACCAAAGACATCATCATCACCCGCTCCGGTATTTTGGTAGTCAGAAGTAAGATCTCGATCTTTAAGGTAACCAACGGTAGTTCATCCAAAGAGCCTAAAATCAAGGGAATTTTGTCCCCCTAAGCACAGTTTTAAGTAAATAAAAATTGCTGAATGATTTTTATTTTAAAATCATTTTTCCGAATAGGAAAGCCTTACATCCTCAACTAGCAACAAAAAATGTAAGTAATTTATTAACAAAATATAAAATACATTGTTCGACAGTTATGAATCTTGGTTAAACACCACAAATTAAACTCTTTTTATTTCTTATGATATTTATAAAATAGCTTTCAAACTATTCACGCCCTTTTTTCAAAATTAAAGATCCTACAACAGTAACAAATAAGTTTGATGTAATTAACAAAATCAATGGTATAAATTGTCCGATAACTTACACTGGAATTACATCCCAATATTTAGATAAGAGCTGTGATTGCAAAAACTCAAACAAAATCCTACAGCACGGTCTACCCACCACTTTCAACACCAACACAATTTCGATTTCAACAATCCAAAAATATTAAACATAGAACAGAGATAAACACAGCTGTTCAATTATAGAACAGACATGTAAACTCAGCCGCAGCTACGATGATCAAATTCAGTATCAATAACAAGCATAAACACAACATATCCTATAATACAACATATGACACAAGTCTTTCAATTAATTAATCGTTATGTAAGGTATTGGTTGAAACGAAAAAGTTAGTGTTACGAGCGGGATTCGAACCCACGACCTTCGGTTAAATACGGCGCTGCTCTGCCGCTTGAGCTATTGTGACTTCGATCCAATCGGACATCAACTTCCTATCTCGACCTACCTTTCGAAATTTTTCCTCCTTTTTGCAATTTTTTTGTTACAACCAATACCTTACATAAAGATTAATTAATTGAAAGAAGTTATTTGGTCAATCAGACCACGAAATATAATAGATATAAAACAATCATTATACTCCACATATCCAACAATTCTACATGGTCTAAATCTAAATTTATCTCTCCTTTCCCTTATCCTTAGGCTAACAAGGCCCGAACGGCAAACCATCACCCTTTTTTTCATTGTCGGTCCCTTTCACCACAAAACTGCCGACTCCTCGTAGAAAAATGAATTTCTATCCCTACTTCCTTCCGCACGACTTCAAAATCAAACATACATAAACAAAAAACATTAATATCCTACTAAAACTTTCAACACGATACACAACAGTGCACATCTACACGGAAAACGCACCGTTTGGGTGAGTACAAATACTTTGATTATACATAAAATTTCTACATTATGTACATCATTGTATAAATTCATTTGTATAATTTAAACAAGTCCAATTAATTATTCTTTTTGGCTATGTTTTTGATTGAGATGAAAAATCATGTCACGAGCGGGATTGGAACCTACGACTTTCGGCACAATACGCCGCTGCTCTTACCACTTGGGCTATCGTGAGTTCGATCATTCACGTCTTCATAGAAGTAACGATAGCGCAAATAGTTATAGCGGTCGTGGGTTCGAATTCAACAATAATTTTCCATCTCAACCAAAAAATTTATATAGAAAGAATATTTAATTGGTATAATTAATACGGTCAATAATGAAGAATATGGATTGATTTAAAGAATGTTTATAAATCCCAGGCCCTGAAGATGATCTCAATAAAGATCGAAACGTTAGGATTAAGAAAATGTTTTACTAAACATTTTCAACACACCAGACCGCATCCCACGATCTCCAAATAATTATTAATTAACGGTCATAAACATAACACAAAACATAAAAACAGTAACTTTCTATGACTCTATGATGCATTAGGATTTGTGCCTTTAAAAAAAAAGTCTTCAAATATTTTAACTATTTTTTGTATTATACAGAAAACTTAATTAATAAATTGTTATTGTATTTAATCGCTAATAATGTCATTAGTTGTTTAATAGCGTCGAAACAAAACAAGGGAAATTTGTTTTGATCAATTATTCGAGCGTTCATTTAAAATCAAATAAAGGAAAAGGGGGCGTACAATGAACAATCGCTCTCTTTGATAATCACACATACAAAATAACTCCATTCTAATAAAAGGAAGGATTGTTTGGCTATCTTATTTCCAAATTGGAGAACTTGTTCTAAAGAGTAATAAGCAAGATTATAGCGTTTGAGAAGAAAACAATCGTGTTTACCCCTGTGCGAAGTTGATTTCAAAGGAAGGATTTAAAGGGGGGAACAAATAGAAATGGGACGTAATCGACGAAATTACCTTTTCCGCGATTTTAATTACGATTTGAGAGTTTTCCATTTGATTCGAAACACGACGAAAATCGGGCGGTCGAAAGGGGGAAAATTAATTTGTCTGGTGATTTATTAGATTCGGGTCGGAGAGGTTTTCGCAGCCACGTAGGCAGAAAGCTTGTCAACACGCGCGAATACGTGACCATCGCCCGATTCCCATTTACAAAACAACCCGGTAAAACAAGCAAAACAAAATTCAACAGCCCGTGTACATTTTTACAACCGGAAAAGTTTACTTTACGAAATTGGATTAATTAAAAATAAGCTGGTCAAAACGCAATGCCAAGTTTATTTTACTAATAAAAAGTTATAATTACTGAAAATATGTTCCGGTAAAAAAATTTCGGTTTTGCTGTTTAGTGTATCTAATTCGAAATTGTATCTAACCAATTTAATATATTCTTCCAGAGTTTGTACCGAGAACTGCTTAAGTTGAACCAACTTTTTTTATACCGGCCTAGTAAATAATTTAATAATAAACTATATTTTTAATGTGTGGTGATTAGTTTCCTTTTCCTATTTATCCCTTTCTATATTATCCTGAAAGGATAATCTGGCCGAACCATTACCATTTTTTCCCTTCGTCGGCTCTTTTCACCTCAAAGAAGCCGACGCCTTATACAAAAATGTCTTTGCTATACCGACTTCCCCACCCCTTCAACACCCAACGTATATAAACACAAAACAGCAAAATCTCACTGGCACTCTCGACACGACACGCAAGAATGGCACAATTCCACAGAAGACAAACACTTTGAGTGAGTAGAAATACTTTTTCGGCTTGGATACGCCGCTGCTCTACCACTTGAGCTATCGTGACCTCGATCCGCTCGGACACCAACTTCCCATCTCAACCGCACCTTTTGAATTTTCCCTCCTTTTTGGAAGTACTTCACTAATGCTCTCCGTGGCCATTTCATTTGTCGTCGAGAATCCAATCCAATTACACGACATTTGAAAAATGGCAAAAGGAGGGAAAACTCATAAGGTGGGGTTGAGATGGGAAG